GGGCGGTGGGTAAGCTGCTGCGGGCGCAGGGAGCGTCCGGCCCGCGCGTCGCCAGCTGCTCCCGCAGGCTCCTCCTGCTCGGATCAGGCTCTGCACCCGGCTCCAGCCCTCTCGGGGTTCCTTGGGATCGTTCTGCTTATTCTTTGCTCAGGCAATGGTCCTTATTGCCTGAACTCCTTATGGGTCTGTTGCAGACACTGCACGGCACCTTCCCTCTGCCCATCTTGGGTTTGCCCCTAGGACCAAACCTTCCTCAGGGGCTCACGCCTGAACCAGGAGCACCAAAGGCCCCTGCAAATCGTGACAGTGTCAATTTAAAAAAAATCTCATGCCTTGCTGTGTGAAAAGTTCTTTATACAATGAAACTAAATCAAAAATGCAGTCAAGGAAAAGCAGTATCCAGAGAAATATTTTTACTTCCCGAATTTCTCCTCATTTTCTCATCTCTGTGGATACTTTCGAGGAGAAGCTTCACCCTTCTTGCCTTTCCGGAGGGCCTGGGTGAGGCCAGTGTGATTTCAGCAGCTCAAGCAGATTATTTGAAATGGAGCAGCTGAAACACTCACGCTTAGATACATCCCCGCAAGCTGGGAGCAAGCAAATGGTTCCAGCAGCCCCGAAGGGCAGGCTGGGCATTAAGGGCGGTGCTGATAGACAGCCGTGGATCAGTCGTTATCTCATGTCGCTGGAGAATAAAGTCCAGATGGGAGCTGGACCCCGGCGCGAAAGGAGGGCGGGAGGCGAGACGGAGCGCTGCCGCGGTGACGCGGCCGGCGCCGAGCGCGACCGAGCATCGGGCTGGGAAGGGATGTCCCCAGAATGAGGACGTATTGGAGGGGGGGCAAGGTAGCCGTGTGTGTGCGTGTGTAATGATGGTATTAAGAATGTAAACTAAGTGCTTAAAAAAGGCTGGCATTCCCCAAACAACAGAGGTGGTACTTTGCACAAAGGGAAACAGGAGGCCAGTGTGCAGGACATTGGTGGGTTTCATGCTTTATTGCAGTTACCAAGGCTGTAAAACAGAATATCTAAAAATTGCTTGGTGTTTATATGGCAAAAACTACCATGAAATAAGCCAAAATTAACACGTTTGAGGGGCTGAAGCCTTTTAAACTGTAAATCCCTCACTGAAAAATAGTGCTCGTCAGGAATTTTCACAGATTATCTTGTAGTTGTTCATGGCAGTGTGTTCTTGCACTTTTCTGGTGGCATGTAGCATTGGAGATGGGTGGCATAAATGGGGCCATTGTGTATAGAAATTACTATTAATATTAATTCAATTTTTAATTGTTTTATTTTAGAATAGATGCGGGAAGTTCACAAATTTTCGACATTGCAGAAGTATGTTTTTGAAAAATATTTTCAGAAAACAATCTGATACACTCATGTGATTATAGAGCTCCAGTTTAATTATCCTGAATTAAAATTTACTGTTTTTTTTTTTAATCCAAGCATTGATTTAATCACTTGTCATAAAATCATCATCAGTATGTTTTCATAAAATCTAAGCAAGGGGAATGGGAGCAATGTTTTGCTTGCTGATTTTCCATTTTGGTAGTACTTTCTAAATTACTATGGTGTGCTTTGCATAATCCATTGGATGAGATAAAACTGCATTTTGTAAAATCTCTTTACAAATCTGCAGAGGATTTAAGCATTCTTTTTACAATCAATACAATATTCCTCTGTTTGTTGTAATGCCGTAAAAATGTACTCTTCATATATCAGATCATCTTTGGGTTACTTCTTATACTCTCTTCAATTTTCAAATCATCTTTGGGTAACTTTTTTTTTCCTCTTTTCTGATACACAGTCTGTGATTAATTCTCAGTATGTTTTCTGTACTTTTATATTGGCAGAACAGTGTAGTTTTATCCATTTGTATATATAGGTTTATCTCTTCCACTCACTTGAAAATCCGTGTTGATTCCTTTTCTTTGAAGCCTGTGTTTTGCTCGGCCGGACTGACTCTTCTCCCCTCTCTTTGCAGCTGTGTGCACTGCAATGTCGTCTACTCTGATGTGGCGGCTCTCAAGTCTCACATTCAAGGTTCTCACTGTGAAGTCTTTTACAAGTGTCCTATCTGTCCCATGGCATTTAAGTCTGCTCCCAGCACACATTCCCATGCCTACACACAACACCCGGGTATCAAGATAGGCGAACCAAAGTAAGCAAAATTCATCTTTTACTGCGCTTGCCTGCCGTTTGATAACTGTGGGGTTGCATTTCCTCTGTGTTTGTAACGCGGAAGCGCCGTGCTGTGCATGCTGCCGTACTGCTGGGTGTGCGGGGTGGTGCATGGTACATATTCTTGGAGGTTTTAGATGGCAGTTAGGTTTCCAAGAACATAGTGATTGCAATGTTTTTGACAATGTTTTAAATGGAACACTGCAAGATCATAATATGGTAATTAGGAAAACATTTCAGGCAAGCTACTGGTCTGTGTTGTGCACTCTTATTTTTAATCCAATTATTTCACATGGATTTTACTGTAAGGTAAAGTGATTTTTAAAGGAGCAGCTCAGGCAGCTCAGCACCGAGGTAGAGATGTTCGTAGCACCTGCCTGGAAGGGCAGAGCAGAACGATGTCGCGTGTGGCTCCCAGAGCGGCGCTCGAGGCAGCACCGCGGTCCCGCCAGCGCCTTCAGCCCGCGGGAGCCGGGGCTTCCTGGTCAATGTGCAGAAATACCCGGGGATCTGATCAACATGGACAAGCACCTGAGGGGAGGATGGAGGGAGGATGTGGCCAAACTCTCCTCTGTGGTGGCCGGTGTCAGGACAAGGGGCAGCGGGTACAAGCTGAACCCCAGGCAGCTCCATGTCCATGTGAGGAAGAACTTCTTTGCTGTGGGGGTGCCCGAGCCCTGGCACAGGCTGCCCAGAGAGGCTGTGGAGGCTCCTGCCCTGGAGATCTCCAACCCGCCTGGATGCGCCCGGGAGCCCCTGCTCTGGGTGTCCCTGCTGGAGCAGGGGCTGGACTGGGTGATCCCTAGAGGTGCCTTCCAACCTCAACCACTCTGGGATTGTGCGATTCCTGAGGGAGCTGGGGTTTCCAGCGGGAGCTGGGGTTTCCCATAGGAGCTGGGGTTTCCCATGGGAGCTGGGGCTTCCCATAGGAGCTGGGGTTGCCCATGGGAGCTGGGGTTTCTCGCGGGTCGCAGGCAGAGCTCTGCAGCGCAGCCTTCCCGGCCGGGCCGCTGCTCCCTCGCTGCTGCTGTTTCTCCTGTGTGACTGGCCCTCCTCCCTCGCGCTGCTCTTTTTTCTTCAGCAGTAGCCACATTTTGGGTCTGGTGACCGGGTTTTTGCTTCCCCAAGACTGTTATAAAGCAATGTGCCTGCCATTAAACCTTTTCCAGCTGGGTTATGGCAGAACGTTTTCCATTCTGCAGTTAGGTCGTGAGACATAAAGGCAGTTAGTGGTTTGCTGGAGAAAGCAGAAGAATCCTGTGGAATATCAGTATTGATTAGGAATTCAGCTTCAGGGCTGAGTTCAAAGTGCCCAATTCCCGGATTCTCAGGGGCTGTCAGTGGGAGCTCAGATGCAGCTGAGCTCGGTGGGAGCTGCAGATAATCTGAAAATGGGGTCAGATCCCCTCAGTGGCAGCCGTGGCCTTCCAGACGCAGTGGTCTGAGTCACCAGTGTCACCAACCAGGAGCCCCACAGCCCCATAGGGTAGAGCAGATGTCACGGGGCCAGATTAACTCGGTTCCTTCCAATGTGTCGACAGGAGTGCCGTTCTCTAGGAGGTTTAAACCTCCATCAAAGCAAAAGAGCAACAAACTTCCTGTTTCTGAGACAAGATTGACATTTGCCGTGGTAGCAAATGGTACCTTTAATTCAGGATGGCATCTTGAGCAGTAGGCTCAGAAATACCAACATCTCATCCAAAATTTTAGATGTCCACAGTTTTCATCGAATAAAAAAAACAAATGATTGAAAGAGTCAGTCGTGGAAGGTATTTCATGTAAGAAATAAGAAAATGAGAGGTGCAAAAGGTTTTCTGACCTGAGTTTGGATCTTTTGAATGGTTTCTAGGCTACTTTGTTATTAAACATTTTGCATTAGTTTAGTTTTCATATAGATATGCTCATAATTATTTTATGAGCTTCTGGAAATTTGCTTATAAGCAGCCTGAAGGTTTTGAGAAGTGTCGTCCGCGCTGGTTTGCCCCAGGTTTAGCGTTGCAGCCCGGGCGCTCTCCGGCCGTTATCCGAGTCCGTGCCCAGCGGCTGCTGGGAGGTGCCACAGGGTCCCGCGGCGCCTGCACTGACCAGTGTCCCCGTTTAATGAAGGTTATTCCCGGCCATGAGGACCTGGGGATTGCCTCAGGATTAACTAAATGTATTCATGCTTCTTAGTAGCAAGTTGGAAAGGAAAATATTTCAGGTTATTTATGTCAGATGATTTCTGAGGATGTCTCTAAAATACATTGATGGGGTGCCATTAAGTGTTTGTGACAGCTCTCTAATTCTGCTTTATCTGCAGTAATGTTCTGTGTTTGTAATTGAAGAGCTGTTTTCATGTTTGACAAATCTGCCACTACTGATTTATCTGGGTCATAGAACCTCTCTTTCCTGTTGCATATGGCTGGCATACATTGTAAAGGGTTAAAAAAATCATAATCAAAATGAAGCAAATATATCACACGGCAGATAGGATTATGTAAGTCCGTCTGAATGGCTCTTTTTCTGCCGTGAAGATTTAAAACACATCCAAGAAGCGTGCAGCAGCCTCCTGCGTCCGAAACCTGGAGCTGTCTGCACACATGGGTGTCAGGAGGGCCCAGCCCCACGTTTTGAGACGTGGCTCTTGAAGGTTACCCCATAGGCAGGTGCCTCTCGGCTCCCACCCGGCGCTGGGCCCTGGGGGCTGGTTTTCCTTCAGGAGGTGGTGGCAGTGCCAGGGTCATGGGTGTCCCTGCCATGAGCAGCTCGGGCAGCTGGGAGGACCCGTGAGCTCCAGCTGAACGTGGGCCGGGGCCCCGGGTCTGCTTGTCCTGTCTGCGGGAATCAGGCTGAATCAGAATCCTGTCTGTGGGAATCAGGCTGAATCAGCCTTCGTGTCTGTGAGAATGGGGCTTGCTGGGACACGGCCGTGGGTCCATGTGGGGAGGCAGTGCCCTCTCCTCCGTGTTATCTCAAATGCCAGGGCTCAGCGCTCTTTGAACCACCTGCCTTGGAAGCAGTTGGTTAATGGATATAGAAAGGGGCTTGCATGTTTAGGTGAATAAGGAGAACATTCAGTGTTGTGCCAAGGCAGGTTTTCAATGGAAGGCAGCGTCCGAGGGAGGGCTCGGCCCAGCTGACGGCATCGGGATGCCCTGCGGTGGTGCCGGGCGCCGCGCGTCCCGTCCGAGCGACCGCGCGTTGGGCTTCCCCGGCGCTTACCTGCCCTCCGTTTCCCCATTTATATAAAGAAGTGATGTTTCTCAAACGATAAAACCACTCTTTTACTATTTAAAAACACCTGCATGAGAGTTACAGTTTGAATGGCTCATCTTGACACTTGCTTTTTAGGGGGAGTGAAGCAGTTCTTAACAGAATCAGATGTACAGATAAGCAAAATCAACAAGCAAAATATCAAGTAAATTATTGCCTAGAACAATTCAGACTTGTGACTTTCATAGTAAACTCATGAGGAAAATGAAGTAAACTTCAAGCTGTTGTTACATGGTAGCTGCTGGGGTGCTTAGAGGAGAGGACTGGACTTAGGTTTCAGTCTTCTTTTTGTCTGTTGGTCACTTGACCACTTGTTTGTCTGCTTGTCACTTGACAAAGGTCTGCTAAGATAGAGGTTTCAGGTAAAATACCTGTTTTCAGGTTAATAACTTTCCTACGGTTTTATGATTCAGAAATTTGGCTATCGTTTTCACTTGGCAGGACTGTGCTGCTAGCATGCAATATTTATCTAGTTCTCTGTAATTAGCACACTTGTTGCTACTTCAAAGCAGTTTATATTAATGTACCTCTTCAGCCAGAAATTGTGTTTTTGGGGGTGTCTCTTCGTTTCCTGGGTAGATCAAGACCGATCCTTAAGGGATCCTAGTGGCGAAATGTGAACTGTCGTCGTGTGAAGCTCCAGCTTCCCCTGGCTGAGGGAGGGAAGCCGCAGTCCGGCCAAGATTCAAAACCATGTTCTATATTGCTGAAAATAAACTAATGGTGAAGTATTTTACTGACTATGATCAAAACGATATCTCCTTCAACATACTGCCCTCACCACCTGAAGCAGTTACGTTGTTCATCCTTTAATTATAATGTAAGCTCAAGAAGTCAGGATGTTCCACTCCTGAGCTGGTGGTATGTAGCTGGTGCGTGCTGGTGAGTTTTGGCTTCTTGTCTGCACTGTTTAATGGTTTTGGTCTGTTTTTTGATTGTACCTTTATTTTGATATTTGAGGCTGTTTTGATTTAGTTTCATTTTAATTGTGCTTCAGACAATCAGATGCGGTTGCTTAAACATGTCAGACCTTATCTCTGTTGGGTAAAATACCAACGTGATTCTTTCACATCGGTCCTCAACACAACTGACATTATTTATTGTACCTCTGGTTTTAGAATAATCTATAAATGCTCCATGTGTGACACTGTGTTTACTCTACAACCTTTGCTCTATCGCCACTTCGATCAGCACATTGAGAACCAGAAGGTCTCTGTTTTCAAGTGTCCAGACTGTTCCCTTCTATATGCACAGAAGCAGCTTATGATGGATCATATAAAGGTTCGTAGGCATTTTCTCCTTTCATTCCTAGATTTGTCATGTAGCACACGCTTTCAGAAAATGCTCTAAAAGGCACAGAAGTTTTTCTATATGAATATTGATTTTGATGCAGCCATAATATCTCAGTGCATTGCAGTCAGTATGTCATTTAATCAAAAATAATACTGGGTGTAGTGAAATAAGCTAGTCCAGTCCTAGTAAGCCCTGAGCCTTAGGAACAACATTCCTAGTATCGTTATTCCTGTTGGTGGCTGGTGGCACTGAGTGCATTGCAAGAATCAAGCCTTTGGTTTCCAGAACTGTGTGGTGGGAACAGGAGATTTGGGAATACATTTGTGTGTGTCTGTGTGTGTGTGTGCACACATACACAAACGCATGCACACTTTGAAGAAAACCTTACTGGCTTAGCTCATAAATATCCTTGCAACCAAATGAATGGCTTTACTGGAGAACATTTTCTGTTGCAAATACTTGCAAATTAAGTTACTCAGAATCATCAGTCCCTTGACTAGAATTGGTTAGCTATCTATTTTTAAATATGCTTACTTACCTTATCTTAAAATCAGCAAATCAGGTTAACAGTGGAAAAGTTTATTATTCTTTATTAGCTTGATCAGGAGGCACTGGGCCACGGCTAAAGTTATTTGCACCACTAAGTATGACAATATAGAGAGGTGGCACTTAACAGAGTTGGATTGTTTTGTAATAACATAAAGGAGTCAGTAAAATATACAACGTTTTAGAAAATCATGTACCTTTTCTTGTTGCTAAAGCCAGTGTTTTGTATTTTAGCCTCAACTGTGGCACTTGCAACCTTGATGATTTTTAAGATTGCATTGAAAAAAAAATCCTGGGAAAATGGCTGATTTTAAAGGCTAGACAGGTAGTAGAGGGCAAACCAAGGTGTTCACAAGCACCAGGTCTTTTTTGCTTTTGAACTAGTTCCTGTTTACTTTAAGAATCATCCCAAAATTTTTGCTAGATACCTTAATTGGTCCTGTCATGCAGCAATGAAAAGTCCAATTTTCAGTTTCTTTTGATCTGCTTGTAATCATTGCTTTTTTAACTAACTAGGCAAATTCATATATTGCTTATTCATGTAGGCGTGCATTCTTCTTCTTGATTCAGGTGTTGCTGTAACCTTGTCGTTACACCTGTGGGCAGGCACTAACCTCCTCGAGAGCAGAAAGCAGCGTGAGCGGGTGGCAGGAGCTGTTCTCAGGCAGGCGCCTTGGCGCGTTTTGGCTGGGGTGCCTGTGCTTTGCCCTGGCCGTGTTGGTACCTCTGCCCGCTGGGCTGCTCGGCACCTTTCACCGCAGGGGCCCGTGAGGACAGAGCTCGCGTGCGGCGTCGGCACCTTCCTTCCCAGGTGCTGCAGTGCCGCGGCCTGCGGGACGTGCGACGGGTCGGACAGGCTGCAGGGCCTGGGCAGGAGGGAGCCACCGGCAGAGACGGGTGAGGGTAGCACCAGGCAGGACAGGATTGCAGGGCACTCGGCCCCGCCGCACGACGAGTAATGGTTTGATATGGCTAGACATGAGCCCTCAGGGAGGAGACCTGCCTGGAAATAGCAGAAAGGGACGAGACGCTCAGGAGGAGGTTGTTTAAGGCTGCAGAAATAACCCAGAGTCATTCCTGCAGATGGGAGTGTGTCTTTGTGGCAAAATACATGTCTCGTTTTGCTCTAATGGCTGCTACAAGAGCACTGCAACAGCCAGGGGCATGAGTGGTGAGGGTCTGGCCAGGAGGTGTAACGCCCCCAGCTCTGCCTGCAGCGTGCTGATGTTCTGTGCTTTTTGGTGAAATAAGGAAATCAACAGCAAGTGTTTTGTTTAAAGCACCTTGCAGCATTTCGTATTCTGTGACTTGAGGGTGCGTTGAGAGCTTTTGGTGCCCAGGGTCACCTGCAGAAGGAGCAGTTGCATTCGGGAGCCTGGACGTGCCCCCTGGGAGGGCTCTGCAGGAGGGCAGCGCGGACGCCCCTCGAGGTGCCCGTGCCGGGGCCAGGCCTCGGGGCGGGCGAGGGCCTTCGTCACGGTGCCCACCAGCAGCGCCTTGGCGCCCGGCAGCTCGCGTAGGGGGCAGCGCTCGCTGCGCCCGCGGCGCCGCCTCACGCGAAGCGCCGCGGCCTCCCGCCGGAGCGGCCTGCTCTGCTCTCCTTTCCCCATGTGCCAAATCAAAGTTAGTCAGCAAACAAACCTGGCCATCCGTGAGAGCATCGTTTGAAATGAAGATGCTCAATTAATCGGATTAGGCAAGCAAAGTGAGAATTAAACTTAACGTAACTTTAGCCTTTTTTCTTTCTCCCTATTAAACAGCCATTTTAACAGTCTCAGTTTTCATAAAAATATCAGACCACTGAAGAAAACTACTCTTTAGCTATGTTTGGTGTCTGTTACTGTTGTTGATAGTTTCTGCTAATGCTAGAGTTTGCTTTTCTTTCATCTTTTTTTTTTTAATTTAGAATGTGGTTCTGAATTGTAATATAACAATGAAATAAATTAAGGCTTTTCAGAGGCCTGAATTTGCATTTTGAGGTGCAGGTCTGTATTTTGACAATACAACAGTAACCTCTATGTTAGTTACTTTACATCTATGTTAATTTTTTTACTTTTTTTTATTGTAGTCTATGCACGGAACGTTGAATAGTGTTGAGGGGCCACCAAACCTGGGAATACATTTGCCTCTCAGTACTAAACCTACAATGCAGAACTCAGCCAGTCACAACAAAGAGGACACAAAATCAGTCAACGGAACAGAAAAATTAGAGAGGAAATTGTCTTCGCCCATGAAGAAAGCAGAGTCTAAAAAGGTTACCAATCCTGGCTGGACGTGCTGGGAGTGCGATAGGCTCTTCACTCAGAGGGATGTTTACATCTCCCACATGAGGAAAGAACATGGAAAGGTAAGTGAGTAATATTAAATTACAGAATAGTGAGTGAAACCTGAAATAAGAAGTTTTTTTTTTTTTTTTCCAATTTAGTAGTGTATTTCATAGAATCATAGAATCATTTTGGTTGGAAAAGACCTTCAAGATCATCAAGTCCAACTGTAAATCCTTCAACGCCATCCTGCGAAACCATGTCCCTAAGTGCCTCTTCTGCATGTTTCTTCAACACTGCGAGGGACGGTGACTCCACCACTTCCCTTGGCAGCCAGTTCCAATGCTTGACTACTCTTTCCATTCAGTATATTTTCCTAATATCTAACCTTTGCAGATGTTCCTGTAAATTCCATCATTATTCTTCTGTTTTCTCATCTCTGTTGCACATTGCTCTTTTATGCTGCTTAGTTTTTGTCATTTTCTATGTAGTGAGGAAATCCACACATTCTCAGTTAATTGCAGGCTTGTTCACCCAGTGCAAAAAATTCCTCCAAGAGGGAAAGGTGTTCCAGCATTTCTTCTGAGCCATATCCAGATTCTTTTTCCTCCTTCGAGCCTTCCATAGTTTCTTGTCTCTTGCAAATTCATTAACTGCCTGATCTAGGGAATCAAATCTTGTCTTGCTGGCCCAATGAATGACAAATAGGATTTAATTTTAAAATGTACACACGTTCTAAGGTGAGGCCAGTTTTCTGTTTCTTAGGCTTGCAGGTTCTGTCAGCAAGTCAGCTGAGTTGAACAATTGGAAATGTTATTTAAACGAGCTAGATTTGAGAGCTTTCTTAAAATTAATTGAAAGGAAAACATGGGAATGCTGCATTCTCAAATCATCAAGGACAGCTTGATGTCCTTGCTCTTCCAAGTAAGTGAAATGTTTTAAAGATCCCAGATGAACAGTAGTGGAATTGAGCAATTTTCCTCTGTTACTGCTTGCAGGGAAGAGCTACAACATTGACTTGTTAAATTTGGCTTCAAAAGGAAAATAATAGTAGAAAATGTGACCTCATAGCAGATTCAGTCTTCTTCCCTTTTTTATCATTTAGAAAATTACTCTGATAGGTATCCGGCCTCCTCTCCTCTCCATACGGATGGAAGTAGATCGATAGAGATAAGACATATAATGGTGGTGGCCTCTGGTCCTTCTGAGTGGTCTCTTTTTTCTTAGTGACTGGTAAAATTTGATCTTTTAGCAAGGAGGAACCTAGAGAATTTTAGTATGTCTGAAACAACTGTAGCTCTGTAAAAATGAACAAAGGATAAAACAGTGCGTGCAGTTGTCACCAAAGCGTTAAATGTTTGTATTGTTTCCCAGATTTTGACAATCTTTAAGCAGTGCCATTAGCAGCTCCACAAGTTCTTTGTGAACACAGAAACTGTGCATTTTTCTGTAATACCTGGTGTTAAAAACTGGTAAATGAGTGTTGATATCTGTGTGAGTAATCTTCCTGCTCCTAGGTAAAATCTTTAACAAACCCTGATGATTGCAGGCAGGATCTGTGAACAGATTTTTGTCAAAACTTTTCACCAAATTTTATTCTCTTCCAGTGAATTTGAAAGGTTTTCTAAAGATGATTGAAAAACACTTCAAAATACCACACGTTCAACAGAACAGATTTGTTTTTAAAAGTGCAATTTCAATTGTGTTACAGAGCAAACCGTTTCTGTGTTTTTTAAGATGACTTTGTAACTCCAGCATGAGTCTGCTGCTGTTGGAGAAGAATAGTATAGGTATATATGGAGCATTAGATAATTATCGTGGTCAGATATTGGCCTAAAGGCCTATTTCAGTGTTTAGTTTTCGCACTTCGTATTTTATTCTCTATTAAAATTGTTCTTCAGATAAAGTGGCAGGCTTATATATATTAAAATTAATAGAGAATCAGCTGTGTCTTTGCGAGACTGGTGGTAAAGGACCAGTTGCTGCATTTCCTCCAGGCCTCTCGAAGTTCCCGCGGTTGCCAGCCCTTTTCCATGGCCGTGCTCAGCACAAGGGCCTGCTGCAGCCCTCGTGGAGCCCGTGAGCTGTTCGGAGCCCCCGTCACGCGAGGGACCTGCAGACACTCATCGCACATGAGTCTCTGCACACACTCAGCTGCGCAGAAATACCTCTCGTTTTGTAGCATTTGTGCAAGCGTGTTTCTGTGCAGAAGGGTGTTTCTGGGCAGGGGTGGTTCCGCGGTTCATGCTCGCTCTGCCGTCCCCTTGCTGCCCGCAGGAGAAGCTGCTGCTCGTCCTGTGCACATGGAGCCGCTGCGGGCAGCGTGAGCAGCACCGTGATGGGCAGCGAGCAGACAACAAACATGCACAAAAGGGGTTCTTCAGTCCCTTAAAAATGTGTGTAACCAGCTGATTAGTATTTAGAATTGAGGGGTTATTTTTTATCATTATTATTATCATTACTTTAGATTAGGCACAGAATGACTCATGTCATATTGAAATGTCCCCATGGATTATCGTACGTCTCCGTTGTTAGGAATCAGTCACTTCTTCAGGAGCCAAGGACAAACGAGCTAAAGCTTAAATATTTTTCTCTGTGGAAAATGGTAGCTGCCTGTGCTTGGAGCTGCAGCACAGGGACATTGAATGGCTCTCTGGAAGAGTCAAGATTGGTCCGAGTTTAAGTGTTAATCTGAGTCCTCCACTCGGTGACCTTGCTTAGAGTAGTGGAACCAAATTAGCAGTATTTCATTTCCGTATGAGCTGCAAGGCATCAGAAAACTACAGATCGGAGCTCGAGAAATCCCTGTGCAAGGAAGCAAGCAGACAGAGGGGTATCTCCGTGCCGTTGCTGCGGGGTGGCAGGACAGGACGGCCGCTGGTGCAAGCCCTGGCGTCCGGGGCGCTGCCGCGCTGGCCGTCCCAAGGGTGCACGGGCAGAAGCGGGCGCCGCGGCTCGAGGGGCTGCTCCTCCCGCACATCCCGCGGCCCATCCCGGCCTTCCCGTTCCTTCTCCTGCTCCTCCTGCCGTTCAGCTGCCCCTAAGGGCGGCGCCCACGCTGCCTTCCTGTGCCAGAGGCCCCAGCGGAGGCGCTACTTCCACTTCCCCTTCCTAACTGATGTGTTTTTCTTCTTTCTCCCCCTCTCCAAAGCAAATGAAGAAGCATCCTTGTCGGCAATGTGACAAGTCTTTCAGCTCGTCCCACAGTTTATGTCGTCACAACCGTATCAAACACAAAGGCATTAGGAAGGTTTATACATGCTCGTAAGTTCTGCTTTTATTTATTTTTTGAAGATACATAGAGACAGAGTGTTCTTCCCTGCATTTCCTTCTTGACTGCATAAAAGCAAGTGTGTCATTCATTCAGATTAATCAGTTAGTTACAGATGTGCAGATGGCCCGTGACATTTGGGCTGTTCTGCATGCATAAAGAGAGCAAACTACTCCAAATGCACATGCATCAAGTGGAGTTTGCTGCCTTTGAGGTGCTTTCAAAGCAAATGAGGAATGTGACTGAATTGAGAGGTCCCCTGCCTTTCACAGTGGTAAATTTGGTTTTTAGATTCTCTCAGATGCATTCTGGCTACGGAAGCTGGTATTAACATAAAACAATTTGAAACATCTAAAGATGCTTAATCAAATCTAAGTAGCTGGAGAGGTGACACATAATTTGATAGAAAAATATGTCAATCAGATGAGCTAGATGGTGTAAGCTCTGTGCGAGCCCCTCCATTCCTGTCCTGCAGGTGGGTGCTCCCTTGGCAGAGAGCAGTTGTAGCTCAGGATCCTGAGGCTGCTTCCCCAGGGCTGCCCTCCCAGCGGGTCTGTCTTGTCTTCCTGCAGGCACTGCCCCGATTCGAGACGAACTTTCACCAAACGGTTGATGCTGGAAAAACATATTCAGTTAATGCATGGCATTAAAGACCCTGATGTGAAAGAAATGACTGAATCAGCCAATATAGAAGAAAGGGAAGTAAAAGAAGATACAAAGGTAATGACTTAGAAAATTCTTCCAAGTGTTCTGTACGGTGAAAATTTCCACCTGTGAGATCATACCCCGAGCTGACAGTAGAGGCACAAGTGCAGATGTTTTTTAAAATGGGCCATTTGTTGTCTTTTGCACGACTGTTTTTAAGGGCAACAATATGTTAGTCTAACAATCAGAGATGATCTGCTACATGAAACCCTATGTATGAAATAAAAACATAATTAAAATGTAGTTTCTGGAGGTTGTCCTGGAGAGGTCTGGTGTTCCTACAGAGCTGGTTTATTCTGCACCACATACAGCCTCGTGTGCAGTTGGATGCAGCTCTGTTTGCAAATACTTGCTCAGGTCCATCCAGTGCCTTAGATACTATAACTCGATCAGAGATGCAAAATAAGTTTTACATATGATTTATAGTAAAAAAAATACATATTTATTCTCTAATATATACACTATGTAGTTACTTGTATGATTTCAAATACCATCCTTTTCAAAGTTTTACTGGGGAAGGTTTTTGAAGTTTGCAAGTCAAGACACTTAAGACATGAACTCTCTATTTATGGTTAATGAAATCATCTTTGTCTTCCTTAGGTTCCCAGTCCAAAGCGCAAATTGGAGGAGCCCATCCTGGAGTTCAGGCCTCCGCGTGGCGCAATCACTCAGCCACTGAAGAAGCTGAAGATCAATGTTTTTAAGGTGCACAAGTGTGCTGTGTGCGGCTTCACAACAGAAAACCTTCTGCAGTTTCACGAACATATTCCTCAGCATAAGTCTGATGGCTCCTCATACCAGTGCAGGGAGTGTGGACTCTGCTATACGTCCCACGTGTCTCTCTCCAGACATCTCTTCATTGTGCACAAGCTGAAGGAGCCTCAGCCAGTGTCGAAGCAGAATGGCTCTGGGGAGGATAATCAGCAAGAAAACAAACCCAACCACGAGGACGAGTCGCCTGACGGCGCCGTGTCGGACCGCAGGTGCAAAGTGTGCGCAAAGACGTTCGAAACTGAAGCGGCCTTAAATACTCACATGAGAACACATGGCATGGCCTTCATTAAGTCAAAAAGGATGAGCTCAGCTGAAAAGTGATGGGATTGTTTGGGACGCAGGAATCTCTCTCCACATTGGAATAATAATGACATTTTTGTTACAGAAAGTTCACCGTATAATAGTGTTAACAGTACTGGTCAGGCTGTTGCAATATATTCTGCATAAGTGTGTCCTCTTCACCTCATTGTCTATATCCTCCAAACATCAAAGCAGTATTTGAGTTGAAAGAGTTTGTATATATTTAAACTAATAACTTTTATACTCTTTGTTACGTGTTTGTATCGGTATCTAGTGGAAAACCTGATTTTTGTTCTCTTTCCGTTTTTTGTAGCAGGCTCCTTGGGCGCAGAGCTGGGTGCTGGGGCCGTTCCCAG